TCACTTAGCATGCTGCTGTTCTGCAGCATCTGGACAGCCATCCTGCCCCTGTGCACTGCATGGGGCAAGGTCACAGTAGCTGTGGAAGTCTTCTCCATCCTGGCCTCCACTGCAGGACTGCTGGGTGGCATCTTCCTCCCCAGGTGCTACTCATCCTGCTGAAACCTGAGCAGAACACCCCTGTCCAGGCAGAGGATAGGTCACCATGCTCAGTGTGCTCCAGTTTCTCCCAGAAACATGTGTACCCCCAGGTTCCGAGCACAGCACCCTTGAGCCAGTCCATGGACACAGCAGCAGGGGCCCAGGACTAAGCTCATGGTTTTTGTTTGGACTAAAAACTGAGAAGTGAGTGAGGCTTCTAGAGCAAGATCCTGAGGATGGTGGACCACAGGAGTGGACGCCTGTGCTCTCTGGCTGCTCTCTTTGTGTTGATGAGCATTTACACATGCCGAAACATTAGAGAAAAGAGGTACTAGTAACCATGGTAATAATGGTGACTTCAAGGCAAAAGTGGGTGAGGGTGTGGAAAACTAAAACCTTCCTGTACTCCCGTGGGGTAGATAATGGACAGGCCATTTCTCAGAAGATTAAACACAGCTCTAACATGTGACCAGCAGTTCTATTCTTAGGTACTCAAGAGAAGTATGTATCCAATAACACATGTGAATGTTCAGAGAAACATTATTTGCAAGTTAAAATGTAGAAAGCATTTAAATGTCCATCAGTTCATGAATGGATAAACAAATATGCGCTATTCATAATGAAATGATCTTTGGCAAGAAGAAATAAAGAAATGAAGGACTAATGCATGCTACAACATGGATGAACCTTAAAAACATTTTGCTGAATGAAGGAAGCTATGAACAATATAGCACATACTATACGTCCCAAGTGGTTGCTAGCTCTTGGCCCTCTTGTTCCAATCAACATAATATTATCAATGTAATGGACCAACATGATTCCTTGTAGAAGAGAAAGATGATTAAGAACTCTGCAACCTAAGTTATGACAAAGGGATGGAGAGTTAATATGCCCCTGAGATAGGAAAGTAAATGTGTGTTGCTGGCTTTGCCAGCTGCAAATTAAATTGCTCCTGATAGGACTTTAGATAGATATGAAAAAATGCATTTTGTAAGTCAATAGATGCATACCACATACCAGGAGATGTGCGAATCCCCTCAGAGAAGGAAACTACATCAGCAATTGGACCCACTACTTGATTAAGCTAATGGTAATCCAGCATCATTCTCCAAGGTGCATCTCTCTTCCACCTAGGCCAAATGGGAGAGTTAAGTGGGGATGTGCTGGCATCTTTCAAGCTCTTGGTGATGGCAAAAATCTCTTCAGTCCCTACAGGGATATGACATTGATTTTTATTTACTATTTTCTCAGGTAGAGGCAACTCTACACTTAGCTTTTCTGTTTCTTTTTTCCTACTGCCTCTTTTATTTTGAACTTCTAATATACTCTATTTCTCTTGTAAGAGAAACAATGTGCCATTTAAGCTTGTGTGTCTGATTTACTTCACTTAACCTTAAGGGCTAATGATGCATTTTCCTACAAAAGATTCAAGTTTATCCTTCCGTATGGCATAGCAGTACTTTGTTGTGTATAAATATCTTCTTTTGCTTTTTATTCCATCGGTTACAAGCCTATAGGGTGGTGGCAGCCACACTTGTGGTGAGTCTTCCTACAGAAGAACGAGCCACAGACACACCCAGAACTGCTCTAGTCAACCCTTAGGAGGTTCCTAATCCCTTTACACTGACATATCACAATGAACCATCTCACTACATCTTCAGCTTTCTTCATGTTTCATTTGTGACAGTATCTCACGAAGTCGCTAAGTTACCCAGGCTAGACTCCATATTTTGGCTGTCCTGCCTCAGCTTCCAAGAGTTCTGAAATTAGACATATGACCACCTCACCTGGCTCCAAATCTTTCAAAGACTAATAGTGTATTAGAGACTCCACTGAAGAAGTTCTACATTTGAAAGCAGACTCAGAGGTCGTGGGAGAAGAGGATTCAGGGAGAGGGCACACCCTGGAACAGAGCTGGGTGGGGCTGCTGTGGGCAGCAGGGAGCCAGGGGCTGAGCGCTGGGGAGGAGTGAGCCCCGCTGCCTCTGACCCAGCGTACCAAGCTGGGGACATCTGTGTGCTGAGTGCCGTGTGTCTGTCCAGGCGTCCTGGTCACAGGGAGAGCAGGTCAGCAGTCAAGGCCCTCAGGAGCCTCCATGAGCAACAACACCAGGGAGCAGTGCAGCACCTGGGAGAAACCACTGTGGCCTGGAGATAGAGTCCCGGGAGGAGAGGAGGCCGCCTCCGCTGGGGGCCGGGTGCGCCTCTGTCACCTGCGGGCCGCTGGCCTGGGAGGACTGCGTGCAGAGGCCAAGGGGGATGAAGGCAGTGCCCAGGGATGTGATCCTCCTTGCTGTGAGTCAGGCCCTGCCACCAAGGGTCCCTTGCATCCTGTTCCTGGGAGTTGGAATTGGCCTGGCCCTCGGGGCAGATGTGGCTCATCGTGCTTGTATAACTCCAGCTCATCAGGAAGTGTCCTTGAGACAGAACTCTTAACTTCCCCTGTGCTGCACTCAGGAGGGACAGCCGTCACCTCCCAGGGCATTCACCCTCCATTTGGCCTTGAACTTGGTGGAGGCTTCAAATCTTTTAGTAAAAAGCAGAAATCTTCATTCAAAATTAAATCTAATTCAAAATCCCATTTAAAATTAAGTCAGCTCAAGGCAAAATGGCTACGGTGGCCAGGAGCCAGAAGGAAGAAGTGGGGTCCCTTTGTGAACATACGGGAGTGGGTTTGGGTTATGACCTCTGTGCAAGCCTGGTCCCGAGGCCCGTGGGGCTGCACAGGGGCCACCCGACTGCTCAGGTCTGCCTGCGTCCAGCCCAGGTGGCAGGGCTTCTGAGCTCAGCCCAGAGCGGAAGTCTGTTTCCTGGGGGTGCTGGTTCTCACTTGGAGCCCTTTCCCCCTTGACCCCAGAGTGCTGGGAGATTGCTGTGGTCGGGAGAAGGATGTCACCGTGTCCCCAGCTGTGGAGGCCCAAGTGCTGCTGAGCTCTCCAAAGCTCTCGGCAGTTACGGTTCAAAGCGTTGGTGCACAGGTGACTGCACAGCATGGCGTGACCGGGCAGAACTGCGTGATGGAGATGACATCGTGCATCTTCCTTTCTGCTCAGAGCTGCTGTCCTGTCTCCTGGGCTGGGAGCCTGACCTTCCTGCTCTCTCCCTGGTCCTCACACCCAGCCTCTCCCGGGATCAGACCTCCTGACCCAGAGCCCTGCATCTCTGCCATGTCTCTGCGGGGACCCTCCTGAGGCCCAGGCCACCTGCAGTTCTGGGGACACCTGCTCTCCTGCCTCACTGTGCGGCTGCCTGGGGGACAAATACGGCTGCCATCAGGTGCTTGGTGCAGCAGGGGCGCCCCAGCTCCCCAAGGTGTTCACACGGTGCCCAGAGCTCTGACCTTGCAGGGGTGTTGGGTGGGCCCAGCCGGGCAGAGAACTTGTAATGGCCCTGGGATTTCGTGGCCCCAGGTAAGGGCCATCCAGATAAGAGCCGGCCCCTTTCCGTGTAGGCCTGAGGTGGCCTGGTCACAGCCGTGCGGGCCGGAAGTTCCTTGGTCACGGCCAGCGCAGGCATGAGGCTGTGCGTCCTGCTGGCCGCGCTGGCAGGTACCTTCCCGGCGGCTCCTGGGCCTATGGGCTGGCGGCTGCCTGGCAGCAGCCCTCGCTTTGAGCGTCCAGGGGATGTGGTGCTGGGTGGCAGCTTCTCCATCCTTCATTTCTACAATGTAGTCTCCCTGGACTTCACGGTGCTGCCTGCGGGGCTACCATCCTCAAGGTGAGCCTTGTCCCTGGGTCCCCAACGCTGTGGTGGGACCGACCCCCGAATCCTGGTCCTCCATCCCTCCCGGTGCTCGGGACCCTTTCTGTGCGTCCCTTTCTGGCCTGGCTCCTGTGCAACCAGGACCATGTTGTGTGCCTGAGCCCCTGGGCTTCGGGCTGGGCAAGTGTTCCTGTGTCTCCTGCTCCTGTGTTGTGAACAGGGCCAGGTGAGACGCACGTTTCTCCCACTGACTGAGTAAGCTTAATGCCTCTCTCCATGAGTGGGACTCAGGTTCCTCTGGCTGCTCTCCCTTCGCCTGTTTCTGTCCTTCAGTTCCCAATGCAGCGCTCCAGAAATGCTAATGTCTTCCACTGTTCCTCTGTGACCCTCACTATTATGTTGTTTGAAATTTGATGAATAACAATTGTTCCTATGTCTGGGCATAGGAAAGTACAGAGACATGTTGATGTGTGTATACACCATAGAAGGGTTAAATCAGGGTGGTCAATGCATCCACCATGTCACATGTGTACCTTGTTTTTTGTGGATGCCAGTATTTAAAGTCTACTCTCTTTGTAACTTTGAAATACATGTTCATTACGGTGATCTTTAGTTACCATGCTTGGTCACTAGACTTGGCACTCTTTCCTCTTGTCCAACTGACTGTCCCTATGACCAGTATCTCCTGTCCTCTGCCAACTTTATGGTTTGTTTTTTGTTTTCTCTGTATTGGGGATTGAAAACAGGTCATTCATGCTCTGAAATATCCATGGCTCATTTTGTTTTTGTTGTTGCTGCTGTTGTTGTCCTTCTTCTGCTGCTGCTGCTGCTCCTCCTCCTCCTCCTCCTCCTTTCCTTTTCTTTCTCCTTTTCCTTCTCAAGACAGGGCCTTGCTAAATTGCCTACATTGGGCTTGATCTTCCAAACCTCCTGCCTCAGCCTCTCAGAGTGCTGGGATTACAGGTATGCCCTACCACACTCCAACCTCGGCCCCCTTTTTCTGTTCTGAATGATGCTGTGTGCATTTCTGTGCACAAGCTCTATGGGAATGCATGTTCTCACATGTACTGTGTGTGCCACGCACACAGGCATCACTGACTGCCTGCCTGCCCCGTCTTCCCTCTGCCCACTGTGACTTTGGGCTTCTCTCCTCAGCATGTCCAGCTGGGGCTACCGGGTGGCCCAGAGCTTCGTCTTTGCTGTGGAGGAGATCAACAGGAGCACCCACCTGCTGCCCAACCTGACACTCGGCTTCTCCATTCGCAACTCCGGGGACTCTGTGCACGGGGCCCTGCACGAGACCATGGCCTTCCTCACGGGGCAGGAGGACCCCGTCCCCAACTATGCGTGCCACCTCGGTCCACCCCAGGCCGCCCTGGTGGGGGACACGCGCTCAGCCCTGTCTGTGGCCATGGCCAGGCTCCTGGGGCTCTACAAGTTTCCCCAGGTGAGTCCTCAGTTGTGCCCCTTTACAACCAGCCAGGATAGCAGAGAGGTCGAGAGGATGGCGACACTGAGCTGCTTTGCTGTGTGCAAATCTCTGCTGTCACATTCCACTCCCAACTCTGCTCTTCCCTACAGAACCTTGTTATGGGTGAGCTCGGATCCCACCATCTGGATAAGCAGACAAGTTCAGGTCAAAATCAGTAACGGTCCCAACTCACTCAGCTGGGAGGAGCTGGCACTGGAGCTGGGGCTTGAATTCAGGCAGGGAGATCATGCCACTATCCCCGGACTGGGTTTGAGGAGGTTCTCAGAGCTGAGAGAAGAAACTTAACTACCCCATGTGTAGAATACATTTGCAGCTTCACTGCCTCCCATTCTTGAAAGAGAATTTCCAGGACTAATTGCTCCTGGAAAAGGTACAGGAGAGGTTGTATTAGGCAGAAATGAAAATGTACACACAAAGAAATACAGTTCAGGCCCGCAGGAGAGAGCATTATTTTCTAGAGATGGCTACATTTATGTTTCTCTTGAGGGGGAGGAAACACAAGGAAAATTGGCCCGCATTCCAGATGCATACCAGCCTATTTACAAGTCTATTTACAAGGCCCACATTTTTTACAGATTCCATTGGAATATAAACATTCCTTACATTCTTTCACTGTGTTTCTTTAACTGAGGATCAGGTTCCTGGTCTTTATTTTCTCAATTAAGCCAATTCATTGACATACTTTTCCTGTGATTTGGGTGTGGTGAGTCTGGCAGAAAAGGATCCCAGATATAACAAATGGAATGCTGCTATGGATCACGTTGGGTAATTACAATTGTGTCCCAGAAGTTTCAGTGTTCCTCAAAGTAAAATTTTTAGTTATGATTCTCCTTGTCTCCTTCTTCCCTATTTCATTTCTTATATCCTAAGCCACTTTCCTCCCCTCAGACTTCTCTTTCACTGTTAAGGGTGCAGAAGGACAAAGGGTCCATTTACTTATAACTGCTTCAGTCTAAAGAGGTGCACTGATCTTGCCTACCCAGGGATACAAAGTCTCAGCCTGACTGATTAAAGAGACGGAGAATGTTGGGTTTTGTTGTTTGATGAAACTCTCATCCTTTGATAGTCTGGGAAAGTGTATAAGGACATTACCAAGTTATTGATGGTTATGTTTCATTTTATAAACTTGTTAAGCAAGGCTAGGTCAGAAATAAAAGGCAGAATAATGAATAGCTTCAATAAAATGACAGACTTCAGTAGCACTTGGCACAAGCCTTTTATCTTTAATATTAGCCTCTATTTGAGGTGTGTACCCTAATGAAACAGGTAGAGTGTAAAATCATATATATGCTTCCTGTTTGATAAATTTAATTTTTAAATTTTCATTATAATAATGGTGAAGGAATACACTAAACAAAGGTGTGTCTGTTATTGTTACATTAATTACATTGTTTTGCTCTCATCTTTATAATTTCCCTCAATTTCACTTTTTTGCTTGTTGTTTCTCAACTACCTTAAGATTTGTCATAAGGCTGTCTATTTAAACCCGCTGTACTTCCCTAATGTAAACACTGATTGAGATGAATTTTCTTCTTAGAAGTGATTTCATAGTGTCCCAGAAGTTTCACTGAATTGTACTATCATCAACTTTCAGAACCTTTTACATTTCTTCCTTTATTTCTTCTGTGACCCACTGGTTGTTTAAGAGTATAGTGTCAATTTTCTAAGAACTTTTGTCTTTTCCTGACATTACTTCTGTCATCTTTTCCTATCTTCATTGCACAGTGTCCTGATAGTATGCATGATAGCATATATACTTAAATTTACTTAAGCAGGTTTTGTGGACTATTACGTGATATATTTTATAAAAATACCATGTGCTGATGAAAAGAATGTATAGTCTGTGGTAGATGGGTAGAGTACTCTGTATATATCAATTAAGCCCATATGTTCAAAGGTGTGGTTCAGCTCTAAAATTGCTCTATTAGTTTTTTGTTTAGTTAACCTCCTTGTAAAACTAGGGAGTTAAAAACCTCCCACTATGATTATGTTAGTGTTTATTTGATCTTGTTTTTGTTTTATGAAGATAGGTTCTCCAGTATTTGGAGCATATATGTTTATCAATGTTCTCTCTTCTTGTTGGATTGTTCCCCTAACTAGCATGTAGTGACCTTGTCTCTTCTAATCACTTTTAGCTTGAAGTTTACCATGTCTGATATTACCACCCATGCAATTTTGGGGTCCTGGTGTATTAGAGGTTGTTTTCCATCCTTTAATTTTTAGTCTATGAATAACTTTTTGGATTAGATGAGTTTCTTAAATGCAACAGAATGTTGGATTCTGTTTTTTAAATCCAGCTGGGCAGTCTGTGTCTTTTAATTGGAGAGTTGAGGCCATTAACATTGAGAGATATTACTGAGATGTGTTGGTTATTTACTGTCATGGTCTTCTTTGTCTGCTGGTGAATCCGTGTTTTTCCTTCCCAGATATTTTTTGTTGCTGTTTACCTATTGACCTCACTGGTTTCCTCTGTGTTTTTAGCTGTATCTCATTCACTATTTCTGTCAAGAATATACATAAGTGGGGGCTGGGGATTTAGCTCAGCGGCAAAAGCGCCTGCCTGGCAAGCGCAAGGTCGTGAGTTCGGTTCCCGGTACCGGAGAAAAAAAAAAAAAAAAAAAAAAAAAAAAAAAAAAAACAATATACATAAGTGTTGTGATAGTCAAGGCTTACAAGGGAAACAATTTAATACAGGACACATAATTTAGAGGGTTATTTTATAATATTCACCCCAAGTCAAATGTAAGAGTGCAAGCAATCTGTCCACACACTAGAGACCCTGAGAATCCAGCTGAGGGCCTAGATCCAATGGCAATGTCTTGCTGCAAGTCAGAATCTGAGAATCAAGAATCTGAGCTGGGAAAAAAAAAAAAAAAAAAAGAATCTGAGCTGGGAAGGCCTAAAGGTCAGTGGTGGAAGCTAGAAAGTCTGTGCCAGCGGGATGCAGGATCTGTGCCAGCAGACTGAAGAATCTGCACTGGAACCAGGAAATGACACTAAAAATAAGGACCAGAGCTTTCCCAAAGTAAATTGCTGCGATCCTCAGCAACAGGGTGTCCAGGGCTCCTCTGGTGATGAGTTCATATCAGGAAAGCGAGCATAACAAGCTTCTTCAAGAGAATCAACAGCTCACCACTTACCCTCCAGAGCCAGGAAGCAATGCTGAAAAGGACCAGAGCTCGCCCAAAGTGAACCGCAGCCATCCTCAGTGACAAGGTCCTGAGCTCCTCTGAGGATGAGAACAGTGGGGTTCATATCAGAAAAGCCAGCATGACAAGCTTCTCCAGGAGATCCAACAGCCCAAACTCATCATCTCCAGTTCTCTTTTTAGGTTGCTGGCAACAATCTTCAGGTGGGCCTTTCACACCCAGCACCATGCTGAGTCAGTTCAGCTGGGTATTGCAAGTTAACCATCAGTTGTCAATCCACCACAAGTGTTTTCTCTAGAGAGCATTTAATACTCATGTATCTTCTGATCTTATCTTTTTTGTGGAAATACTTTCTTTCTCTATATACTTGGAACAATGCCTTTGTTGTATAAGTTAATCTGGGTTGGCAGTTTTTTGCTGTTAGGACTTGAAATACTTTGCTCCAAGGTCTTCCTACCTCTAGGGTTTGCATTGAGAAGCAATCTGTGATTCTAATTGGCTGAACTTTCTATGGGAATTTTTGGGTTTTGCTTGGTTGTTTTTTATTTTAAAGAGAAGCAAAAAATAAAAACAATGATATGAAATTTGAAAACAAGATAGTAGGAGAGTAACAATGATTAATACATTGTATATTGTTATCTTCAAAGTAGTTGCTCAGATTACAAGATAGAGGCATGAAAAATAGATCAAACAATTTAAGAACAAACCTTTCCTTTTTGTTTTTATCTGGCTAAGTCTTGTGCAGTTTTTTGCTGGGTATCTGGTAATTTAATAAGAATATGCCCTGGTGAGTTTCTTTTTTTCATTATATTTGTCTGGTATTCTATAAATGCTGCTTATTTGTATTTTATACATTTTTATAGTTAGGAAATATTCTTCTGTGGTTTATGTAAACATGTTAGTGAATCCGTCTGTGCTATCTTCTAATTTTCTCTATGATTACCCTTATACTGGTTTTCTTGTCATCTAATAGCTGCTGGATAGTCTTTTCTTGTTGTCTTATTTTCTTCTTGCCTTCTTTGAGCTCTTTATCACAGTTTACTATTTCGTCCTCAGTATCAAACACTGTCTTCACAGTAGTCATTTCTGCAATGTATGAATTCTACAGTTTTATTTTATTTCAGGTACTTCTGTCTGACATCTTTTTGAGAATTTCATATCCTTGTTGAATCTGTTCATGCTAGCTAAGGTGGCAATCCATCCCCAGAACGGTGCAGGAAGTAGTGATCTGCATACAGTGATAGCATAACACCAACGTGAGCTTCCAGTCCTGTGTAACTCAGGCTGAACCTGGCCTCTGACTGCAGGAACCAGATCCATGATTACCAGCCTGTGCCTCTCAACGGGCCTTTCCCTAGTCTGCTCTCCAACTGTGGGCCGTTTCCTGTGGGTGTCCTCCCTCATTCACTATGGAAAATTGGCAGTGTGCAGTATGGTTTGGGGCCAAGGGGGCTTCCTCTGTGGCCCAGCTTCAAACACTTAACCCTGCCCTACAATGGTGTCCCCACCAGCTCTTGCTCTATGATTGTGGCTGCAGGGGCTGTACTGAGGTCACTGACCAACTGTTGGCTGTGAAATGCCACTCTGGAAACAATAGCCTGTATATTCCTTGTTGGTTCCAACTGCTGATGAATTTTTTCCAACCCAATGCAGTTCTCTGGTTCTCTATGAGCAAAAATGTTGTTAGTTTCACTTTGTCTACCAAATGGTGGCTTGCACCTGTTAGCAGTGCTGCATCGTCTCTCCTCGTGGTGTGATCTACTTCTTCTGTATTACTTAATCCTATTTTTTCTTCTGTCAGTTTCATCCTGATTTGTGGGTAACCACCACTCATGTCAATTCCTCTCCATGCTACAATTTTCCAGACTATGTCCTTCAGAAGCTGAGTTGCTGCCCCTTACTGCTCCATTCTTCCTTCAATAAAATGCCATGTTACTCTTACTCTTTCAAGTTTTTGTGGGAGATTTTGGGGAATGAACACCAAGGCCACACTCAGATCTGCTGAAGGAGATGAAAACAATATGCGATGGATGGGTCAACAGTAATGACCTGCCGCTGAAATGAAACGCACCAGTTATTAGCTTGTTTCTCCACAGGAGGCTGGTTCCTGTGGAAAAGGCTGCAAATCTGAGGCAAAAGAATACAATGTGGGGGCTGCGGATTTAGCTCAGCGGCACAGCACCTGCCTGGCAAGCGGGAGGTCATGAGTTCGATTCCTGGTACCGGGAAGAAAAAAAAAAAAGAATACAATGTGGCCAAATGACTGTCCCTGTGTTTCTTGAGAGATGATGGTGTCTGTGCATGAGATGTGGTTCTTACAGGAACAAGGCAGGAGGAAAGTCCAGGCCACCCAGGGCACTGGCCTTTTCTCACTGTCATTGCTGTGTCCTTATTTCTCAAACTATGACCAGTCTATTTCTGAGTCCTGGTCTTTTCTTCTGTGCCCTGGACCTCCCCACAGGTCAGCTATGCATCCACACTACCCAGCCTCAGTGACAAGACCCAGTTCCCCTCCTTTCTGCGGACCCGTGCCAGTGACCTCACATCC